TGTATAATAAATGGTTACACTCACAAATTCCAGAGCCGTGTCAGGCTCTGTATAGTAAGCCCAATGGTGACTGTGCAATAAGTCTTTCTCAAGTTGAAATTTAAAAGTGCAATTAATGATTAAATACTAAAGGGTATTAATTAATCATGTTGTCAATTAATGGATCAAATGAACAATCAATAGCAACAAAGATCGGTGAAACACTTATTTACAAAGTATCATGTGGCGGCCCAGTTGCCAGTTTTAAACATTTAGCAGTCGCATTGTAAAATAGCTCCAGTCTAGTAATATGGGGGCCTTACTGAACACCTTAGGATTTTATTTTATATATTTTTTAATTTTTTACTTTTTTAATGTGACAACTGGCTAGAAAGAGCTGGCCAGCTCCCATATAATTAACCCTTTTGCTGCCGAAAGTTTTTAACTATTTGCTCACTGGCTGCTGGCATTGTCAGTGGGCAAATCGTTCAGATTTTATATTTTTTAAATCCAGGCCTAGATATGCTATCTCTGTTCCAGACTTTAAGCATTTGGTCCAGAATTCAACCATCCAGTGGCGTACAGTAGAGCGGAATTTTGGACCATTCCATGAACAATGTCCAGATTTTTTGTTCGAATGATGCTCAGTGAGTGAGCTGCCTTTAATTCACTAAGACAAAAACTGAATATGATATCAGACACGGGGCGCCATAGTCACTTTAATAGTTCAATATGGAGATCACCAAAAAAAAGAAAATAATCAGTAGCAATATAACATCCAATTTATTAAAAATAAAATCAAAAACAAGCAATATAACAACATATGTGCATTATTGCAAGTATACAAAAGCCAAGATTGGCCAAGAGCCCTTAGGAATAGCAGCTTTGGAAAAACATGATACTAAGACAGTAATAAAAGTCGATCCGACTTCTCAGGAAGAAACGCGTAGAGCACTATCAAGAACCCTGCATTTTGGTATCAGCAGTCTTTTTTGAGTGTATACTGTGGATTTTTAGTATTTTTGTGTATTGTGCATTTCTGCAGTCTGTGATAGATTAGTGGAAGTGAATTGCTGGTCCGGCAGGCACTTTGCACTTTCCTTCTGACTACAACTTTTGCACTTTAGCACATGCACTTTTATTACTGTCTTAGTATCATGTTTTTTTCAAAGCTGCTATTCCTAATGGCTCTTGGCCAATCTTGGCTTTTGTATACTTGCAATATTGCACGTGTTGTGCTATTGCTTGTTTTTTATTTTATTTTTAATAAATTGGATGTATATCTCTACTGATTGTTTCCTGTTTATTAGGAATTTCCAGATTGAACTATTAAAGTGACTGTGGAGCCCGATCTATTGTCTCTTTAATTCACAACCTGGCTGCCGACAGTCAGAGAAACTATAAACATGTTGTTATATCTCTTTACTATTATTTGCCTCTCTGGGTTCCTTCTTCTAATGCAGGTTGTTGTTTCTCAGATCATTCAGTACTGTCAGTGGCTGAGCTGTGTGCATACATTTGATAAGGAAGTATTTTTCTGGAGTGAGGGGGTGTGGCTAAGGAGGCAGACTAATTTATCATTCTGCAAAAACATTTAATTATTTTTTTATGCAAAAACTATACATATTTGAGCATGAAAAAAAATAAAAAATAAAGCATATTAGTGAAGGCAAAATCTATCTAATGCATTCAAGTTGTATTGGTGCCTGTGGTGGACGTTTAAAAATCAGTTTCACATAATACTCATGATGTATACTATTTTTACACTCACAGTTTTCCATAATACTATCATCCCTTTTATATTTTACTCTATCTATTTTTTTTCTTTTATCTTAATATCGTTCTACATAGAATGTCCACACATCTAGAAGTGAAATTTAATTTGTTTCGAATTGAGTCTTTTTCGTTATATGCAAACAATGCCAGAGTATCTTATTTCCATTTAGCAACAGTATCTTTCTACATTTGTACCAATTACAGTACTATGGTACTGTATAGAGTTTATGAATAATTTAAGAAAAGTGCTGATAACTGTTTGGTGTATATATATATATAGCATGTAATATATATCATATTAATTCACCCTAAAGGTAGTGCTTAGCTTCAAAAGTTCAGTCTTAATCATTCATATACTGGAAATGAAATGTGAAGATTAAAATGTTCAAAGCAAATTATACTTACATTCTGCATACGTTTGAAGCTGAGAAAATTCTGCAGGGCTGAGATTGACCCATTTTTCTTGGTTAGTCATTATGGTCATAGAGATTCCAGTTACAGCGAGGACAAATGTGACACTTTGATGGTACTAATAATTAAAATGATTTCCTTTCCGTTCCCGAGGGTCTTCAGTTTAAAATGTAGGGATAATTAACAGTGATGAAATCTTCTATGAAGTCATTGTATATTTTAACATTCTGTAATAGAGAGAAAATATAATGACATTTTTACAAAAAGGTTTGCAACAACACATGTGTCATTTTATGTGACAGTGCATTTTTTTTTTACCAAATCAGAATGAAAGCATTTCATTGTGTTTAAAAAAAAAATGCCCACAGACATTAGATAGATAGATAGATAGATAGGTAGATAGATTTGGATGGATGCGCAGAAAGACAGGCAGAAAGGCATTTTGCACAACAATGCACCTATACTGGTGCCTAAAAAAGTCTAGACCATTTTTAAAGAATTAATAAATCCCTGTTTAATATATAAACCCCCAATGAAAATACGCAGGCATTTAATTATACATTTTTAATTGGGGAAATATCTAAAACAGCTTGAAAAAGTTGCAGATCTCTGCTCTTTGCAATCCCTCCCCTTGAAATCCTGCCCAGACTCTCTGGAGCTGTCCAATCATAGACTGTCCCAAAGCAACTCACTGAGACGTCTTTGTATGACAGGTGATCTGAGCAATTGCGTGTCTCTTGAGTTTAGCTCTACTGAGCTCTACTGAGCTAAACAACCAGGAAATAACAAGACTGATTGTCTGATTGATAGCCAGAAGGTTTAACAAGGTTATTTTTGTAAAATAAAACAATGGGACACACTCTTTACGTGCTCTATCGGCCTGGAGTGTCTTTAAGCTAAGTGCACTTTCGTACTTTTTGTGACTCCTTAGTGTGTTAGTGATTGTGATTTAACTGTGAGTATTGCAAACTCTGATACTTTATTTGGAATTGGCATTTGTGATTCATTTTATCCTGATCCAGATTTAGACTACAAAGATGTCTTTAAACATTCTTTCCTTTTGCTTGGACTCTCTAAGCTTCTGTTATATACCTTCCTCTTTGAACACCAAAAAAAAACCATACCATATACTTCCTGAATAAAAATAGAGTGAAAGAAAGAAAGAAGCATCACAGTCTAGTGAATATGATATATATATATATATATATATATATATATATGCTGTCAGATACTATCCTACCCAAGCAGTATTTGGTATAACTGGGACAAAATACTATTTTACATTTTATTATCCTAGTTAATTTCACTGTGTTCGGTAGACGAATCTACCGAACACTGACCACCCCCCTGGGTCATTGAACTTCAAAGAAACCAAAAACATAAGTGCTCTCCTTGTGTGGCTCTCCGTGTCCGTAAACTTGTGAACGAGCAAGTCCATATGACTCTTTATCAGAAAAACGAGTATTCATATTTATAGTGTGTGAAATAAATATAGAAGTATGTCTAAAAAGGAATACTTTATTGGAATCTCCTTATGGATCGTGGAACATTTAAATAAGAATAAACAATTCCTAAAACTTGTGAGTATTCGTGTAATTTCTATATTACACACTCGGGCTATTTAGCCAGCACAATAATGTGTACATTATTTTACACTATTTTGAATCTCCTAAGTACCCTTGTGGTGGCTAATCAGGTCCCCTTAGGGTCATGGTTATTGGTATTGTTCATTCCTTCTTGCACCTAGGTTTATATGTAAACCAAGTGAATTATACATGGTGTCAACTTTTTAGTGGCATTTTTAATTGATTGAACATATCAAATTGAACACCAGTGATAATAACTAGATTTATTACCATCATTTCTGAGAGTCCATATGATTCCATATCTTCCTGAATGCTTTATGCTATCAGTTTGTGAGTCTGGCATACAGATAGGTATTATGCTTATCGTTTGATGGTCTTTGTGTAATCATGAGGCCATCTAAGTAAACAAAATCCAGGCATTTTAGGCTCAATGTACCTACTGCCACTCTTTTTAGTGCCCACATCTCTCTCTGGGCCACTCTGCCCTGATAAGAATATGTGGGCACCGTTTGGACTCCTTCCTTATACGTTATATTCTATATATTTCATATTCTGGGAGTTCTAACTATGTACCCTCCTGATACACAGTTAGGGGATTTGAGGAATTGTTTATTCTTATTTAAATGTTCCACGATCCATAAGGAGATTCCAATAAAGTATTCCTTTTTAGACATACTTCTATATTTATTTCACACACTATAAATGCGAATGCTCGTTTTTCTGATAAAGAGTCATATGGACTTGCTCGTTCACAAGTTTATGATGTCATCCAATCATACGTTGATACGCAAATTTGGGGGCGTGGCCTGTTCAGACTACATTTTTTGGCGCGAACAGAAAGCACACGCCCCCTTTATTCATTGGCGTCAAGTAACTATATAAACAGCCTCTGTTACAGACAGAGGTTTGCTAAGCCTCGGAAGTGAGAGAACTTAAAGGACCACTATAGTGTCATGAAAATAAACTTGTTTTCCTGGCACTATATAATCCTTAGATGCCCCCCACCCTCAGGGCCCCCCTCTCAATGCTTTCCTATGGACGTTCTACTTGCTCAATGCGATTTTTGCATTGAGCATCGGGGAAGCACCTCTAGCGGCTGTCTTCCAGACAGCTGCTAGAGGCTGGATTAACCCTGTGTAACGGATCACCTGGCACCCCGACTGGGTACCTCCATTAAAGGATGCTCCTAGCACTTCCTGAGGACTCCAAGCACTGCAGCAGACACCAAAACCACCGAACCGTAGGAGCATATGAATGCTCTCAAGCATATGAATGTTGTATACAGCTGAATAGGAAAAAACATGCGAATAGGTTTACACTCCTAGCAGTCAAACTGGAACAGCATACAATAAATCCTCCCCCAATAATGAGATGACACTTCACTTTGAGGGTTAAGCAGGAACTGACTGGACTGGCACATACAGCCTCTTTTATTCCCAATCCACAAACTTAGTACTGCCCACAGGGTTTTACAGAACAACCAATAACACGTACAATACAGTCAGACACTCCCACACAAAATCCTCCCTTCTGCCTGTGATATGATTACTGAACACAATGGGTAATCTAATTATCACAGACAGAGAAATACAGTTTCATAAAACACATCACAAGGACCCCAAAACATGGAATAACCCCATAAAGTATATCCTTGGAACCGGGGGATCTGGGTGAACCACATATCCAAAATTCACCCAGATCCATTCAGTACTTTGGAAGATACAGTTTAATGCAGATTCTGCAGAACATATAAAGGCTAAATGAAAAACAATCACTGTATAATGTGTCCCCTGCTGTATAGTCCAAAACCACTGCACGGTGTCTCTGTGCACCAAATACCGGCGAGATGGCACCGTGTTGAAAAGTCCAAACAGTGTCTGTGAGTTAAAATGGCCGCCATCCATTGTTCTCACCATGTGCTTCTGATACAGGAAATGGTGGCCACCCAGTAACTCCACAGTATGTCCCCAGATGGTTCTTAAAGGGCCAGCAGCAGCACAACACAAATCCATTATGCCCAAATCATGTCTTTAAAGGGCAATACATCCCAGGGGCCATAGTCACATGGCAGGAGGTTGGCAATCAGTCTTCTCCAATGCCCAGTGGCGAGGTCGGTTTCGCCACACCCTGCAATGTAAACAGCAGTTTCTCTAAAACTGCTATTTTTACATCTGAAGGGTTAAAACCTGGGGGACCTGGCACCCAGACCACTTCATTGAGCTGAAGTGGTCTGGGTGACTATATTGGTCCTCTAACATTTTAAGATTGATTGTACATTTTGTACTTTTGCTATCGATACAAAAATATGGAATGTATGCAAAAATGGTTATGTAACACTGACAGAGGGTGAGCTACTTGCTGTAGAATCAGATGTAAAAGATGCTATTCATTTTGCTATTCTAAGGCTGAATGCTTTTAATAAAGGTTAGTGGTGGTGGAGACAGTGGTGACAGAGGTGTCAGTATTTCTCGGGGCCAAGATGTTTAAACTCTATGAAACTATGGCATTACTGCTGATAGGGGGTTGAACAACAGGACTTCCCCTACCCTTACTCAATTTCGTCTATGGATTATTGTGTTACATTGTTTCCTTGTACTGTTGTTGTTCTTGTTACCCGAGAGTGTGTGTCTACTGTGTATTGGATTTACTGTTTTCTGACCTTGGCTTGTTTGACCAGTTTTGCTCTCTGTTTCCCTAGACCTCGGCCTGACTATTGATTCTGTGTATCTCCGTTATCCTAGACTTCAGCCTGTCTCTCGTTTATTCTCTGTCTGCTTGCAGGCATTTCTTTTATGTTCCTTAGGACCCTAATGTTTTACTTCACTGTTTCCTTTAGGTTTGCGTGTTAGGGTATCTCCATTCCTCACACAGTGGATTGCAGTGCAACATTGCCCTAGAAAAAAACAACAGTATCACAGTTGAATCAACCAGGCTATCTCTGCCATTTGAAGTTTGTGTGAGTGCCAATGTGGGAGTAGCTGAGGAGCTTTTTCTTACTTTACTTGCTTTTTTACTAAACAACACACTCACACACCCAACAAAAATAATTTTCTTTCTACAAACAGTTAACAAAAAAAAACAACAACAAAAACAACCACCAAACCTTTTACAACTATATTGGTAACCTAGTCTCACACTAAGATCAATGACAAAATGGCAGTCTAGTGTATCTACCACTCAAGTGCCTGTAGCAGTAGCTAGTTAGATACATCAGCAAGATAAACCTAGTCACACACTAGAATCAATGACCCAGACTATCTCCCACTCCCACATAGTCACAGCAAGGCTAAGATACACAGTATTGCTGCTGGCCTGTCTCCCTCAGTAGCTGCAGTCAAAGTGTCTGGAAATATCCTGCTTGGAAATGTAGATTTTTTTTACTGCTTCTCCTTTTCCTGCTATGTCAGTCAGTTTTTACTTGATCTGTAAATCCACAGTTACAGGAAGTCCCCTAACCATTACCAAAGTTTTTTCCACCTTGATTAAAAAGGAGGTATAGCCCACATTATTGGGCAGATCTCTTGTCCATCATGGCAAACTAAGCTGCTTATTTGCCCCCACCAAAAAAAAGAGCCTTTTTTTACATTGCATCCTCTTTTTTTTCTCATGCTAGGAATGGCACTCCAAATCAGTAGTGAAAATGAGCATATTCACAATTGGACGAGCTGATACCCAAAGACTCTGGTGTATGGCAGCCTAGAAATTGGAATTTTGACCTGATCACGTGAACCGCCCTATTTCTACGGAATTGCAGTTCATCTGGAAATTAATCTCTGAGTCTACAAATTACAAATAATAGCAACTAGATTTGTGCATTATGATAAAATTTGGTTTATTTGAATCGATTTACCTGAAAAAGGAAAATTGTTTCGGTGGATTTGGGTTTTGTTACCCAACATGCAATGTGTAACTCAGCATGGATAATACAATAAAATATTACGGGTCCTTAGAGTGGCTGGGCTTTACATATATGAACATAGGATGATCAAGCCAGCGATAATGGAATTCAAAAAACCAAGAGACAATAGCCCGGTCAAGGGTACCAGAAGACAGAGTAGTCAAGTGCAGCCAAGTGTTGCCTAGTCAAAACAAGAATAAACAAAACCTAAAAGCCAATTTATAATGTGGTATCTTAGGTGAATAGCCACACCCCCAAAAAGTCAGGGACAGTTAGAAATTGCACAAGTCAGTGTATTTTCATGAAAACATCAATCCACCAGCCTCTTGCGTCCATGTGTTTGCCAGGAGGTGACCACAAGGAGGTACCGTGACAATTAGATATTTTTTATTTGCATTGATAGATAGATAGATAGATAGATAGATAGATAGATATTCTTACTGCTTTTTATGTACCAGTTAATGTGTTTCTATAATTATGTGATTTCTTATTCTATTACAGAAACACAAAACATATGTATTCCAAGGGTCCTATAAAATTATGTCAAAATGTAATGGACTGTCAACTAAATGCAAGCTTGTATAGAGTTCACATCTCTATTGATTAATTGAGCGGTTATATAGCCTTTAATTAGAGATATGACGACAGAAAAGCAATCTGTAAAAATTTCACATTTTGAAATCTAGATGGACACATGGCTAAATAGATACACCAGCTTCAAAAAGCTAAACACAATCTGGAATATTTTGCTCCAGCAATAGTACAATGCTGTGAATGAAATGATAGCATCAAATTGTTCTGAAGACAAAATCCAGGGATTGCTTTCAAATATATATACTTGGGTGAATTATTAGCTAAAAAAAAGTGTTTTAGACATATTGAAAGGAAAAAAGCTCAAATAGCTTGCCCTTCAGGGTACCCCCTCTCATACATGTTTTAGCTCACTTGTGTCATTACAAAGAGAACCTCAGACGAATACCACCTACAAGGGCAGTCCCCACTGTGCCTAGGGGTTATGAGCTACATGTCACTGATGATGCCCAAAAAAGGTCAAAGTGAGCATGATGGGTTACTGCATCTTTTGTGCAGACAAAGCCTGACAACATTCAGATCCTAATAAGCCCTTTGGGTAGAATCTGTTTGATATATGACAGGCTAAGTATATCCCTGTAATGGCACTGACGTGCAAGCTATTTGAGCTGTTGTCCTTTTTCAGTGTTTGCATATCTCCTGTTTGTTTTTCGGTGGAGCATTGTTGGGTTCTGAGACCAAGCAGAGCCAGCATACAAAATTATGTTAACTTCTTTTCAAATTATTTTTATTAAACACATTTTGAGAAACATAATTTTAACAATATAAAAGAGAAATATAACAATAAAAACCAAATGAATTATGAATAAAAATAATATATAAAACAAAAAGGGGGAAGGGGAAGAAATAATATAATTCCAACCATAGTTACATAAGATATAATGATCAGATTTGTACAAAATAGTATATAGTACAGAGTATATTAAAACCATTTATGGAGAGAAAAACAAGCAGCAAGAGAGGTGAGAACAGACAACAGCTCAATTAGCCTGCCCTTCAGTGGGTCCCCGCTCAGATTTCAAGCTGATTTTAGCTCAACTTGTGCTATTACAGGGAGAACATACTTGAAGCATATCAGATTGGTCCCTCCCACATGGGCAGTCCAGATACAAAATACCAGCAAGTTCCCTCTGCATGAAAGATACGGCAACCCGAGATGATCATTTCAACTTTGTAAGGTATCAGCAATGAAGTATAGTCATTATCCCTCTGGGCACCCTGAGCAAGGGGTCCACGTCTGAATTGGCCTTTAAACTTAAGGAGAGAAAAATGAGTAGGAAAAGAAGGCCGAAACGATCATCTGGGGTTGCTGTGTCTCTCGTGCAAAGGGATCTGGCTGTCATTTCAGATCTGGACTGCCCGTACGGGTGGGACCAGTCTGATATACTTCAGATATGTTCTCTCTGTAATGGCACAAGTGAGCAAAAACTATTTTGAGACCCGAGCGGGGATGTACCGAAGGGCAAGCTATTGAGTTTATTCTAAGCTTTTGTCCGTTCTCAGAGTTCTAATTTTTTCTTTTTTGCTATAATGCATTAACTTGTCTCACCCCAAAAGAAGGCCAAAATGATCGCTTGGGTTTGCTGTGTCTTTCATGCAGAGGGAACTTCCTGGCATTTGGGATCTGGACTGCCTGGACAGGTGGGACTAGTCTGATATGCTTCAGATGTGTTCTCTCTGTAATGCCACAAGTGAGCAAAAAATATTTTGAGACCTGAGCGGGGATGTACCGAAGGGCAAGCTATTGAGTTTACTCTAAGTTTTTGTCCATTCTAAGAGTTCTCATTCTCATATATATATATATTGGTACTCGTGTTTCAGGGCACGTGGAGCTTCTCACACCGCAAAGCCAGTTCATACTTTTTAGTTATTAAAGGAATCCTATAGTGCCAGGAAAACAAACCCGTTTTTCTGGCACTATAGGCTCCTGGAGTTCCCCCCTGCCTCGCGCTCCCCCTCCTGGGGGACTTCAGCCACTTACCTGAATCCACCGCCGATGTCCCTCGGTGTGGGGTCAGGCTCCGCCAACACTCCTCCA